TCTAAAATTACCATGAAAAAGAATTCAGAAAGAACATCTAAACAAGAAAGAAAGTTAATAAACACAGTAAAATAAGAAATTTGATCAGAAAGTGTTAGTATGACCGTAAAAAATAAGAAATATGATCAGGTGTTTTATATATATATAATCCAGTAAAAGTAAGATATTTGATCCGAAGGTTTTCAAAGCCAATATTGTATTGAAAAAGACTAAAATTTATTTCATTTAAATAAATGTCGTGACTGATGCCTGAGATCAGTTGGTGCTGAGAATTGAACCCATCTTAACCTGAAATTTTTTTTTTTTTTTTTTTTTACATAGGTTAAAGATTAGAGTTATGAATAACAAAAATACATGTGGATTTAGTGAATTTAAATAGGTCCTAAATACATGTGGATTTAGTGAATTTAAATAGGTCCTAAATCTCAGCATCAGCCAGTCTCAGTATCAACCACGACAATAAATTTATACATAGTCACTACCGCCATTGTAAACTTGTAAATTTAATTTTATCTAACTGTAAGTTAAACCTAACTTTTTACAAACGTGATTGCACCTATGATTTGCCAAAAAACACCTATTAATTCCTTCACGACCTAAATTTGTATGTCCAAATCTTGAAGAATCAACACAGTGTATCGCCGGGTCAGTTAATAAGAACTCATTATTAAGTTCAATTCCTTGAAGATCACACACTACTAAATATCCTCTAGTATGTTCATACGTGAAATGAGCAAATGCTTCAAGAGCAGGACGAGACAATGTAATTATCCCACTATTTGTATTGAATCGCTTAAACTCTCCATTACGAAATTCTTTTTCTAAAATATAGTAATGAGTCCTGCTATTAATGACAACACGAACAAGACTTGCACGAAGGAAATTTACAAAAGGAATATTTTTTTTTCTGGCAATTGAATTAAATTTTTTAGAAAGATGATTCGCCACAGTAGAGACTTCTACAGCTTCAAGATATTTTTCAAAAATGTCAGTTGAAGTATTTTGAATGTATTTTTTCATTACCATTTCTTCAGGAAGAAATGGTCCGTTACTAATACTAATCGCAAAATAAGCACATTTTTCGACACCAGAAGCAAATGGATTTGGTGCAATCTTGAAACAATAATTTTTAGAAAAGAGTTTATCTTTTCTAAAGAATCCCCGATCCTTAAGTTGATTTAGAGTAGTAGGTGTATTATAACAATAAGTTATACCTGTTTGCTCTGGAAGAAGGTACCAATTAGGTACATCAGGAACTAAATTAATTTTTTGTCGAGAATAAACGTCACTAGTTACGCTTCCAAGGGTGCTTGTTAGTGAAACAGAAGTTATAATTGACGAAGTTGTAGCCTTGATAAACTTATTAACTAATTGAATTGGATCACCTCCTACAAGATCAAATTCAGGAAAGTCGCCAATTATACTACGAAATATTCGAACCATTTCGTTAGTATTTTCCGTAATTTTGCCAAAAAAATAAAGAATTCTTTCAGATCGTATTTTTCCTAATACACCCTCAGCAGTCAAACCGTTTGGATCACCATTTGGATAATCGTCTTCTAATCCAAAATGATTAAAACGTTGACCATGTGGTGGATTATCACCAACATGTAAGAGAACTCTAGTACCATTATTCCAGGATAATCGAGTTACAGCAGCATCAAGACCCCCAAGAACATCTTCTGGATCATCACCGCCACCAAAAGCTAATACTTTAGACAACTTTCGTTGAAATCTTTCAAAAGAATTTGTAAAATCAAAAATCTGTATATTAGGACTATCATTATAGTCACGATAGCCACAAAAACCAATGCGAATTTTAATGCATGGGTTTGTATTTTTAATATGTTTTATAACCTGTAAAATGCAATCTTTAGCAGCAGCAATATGACCTTCCATAGATCCTAAATAAAATTACATGATAACCGAGAGTAAATAAAGAATCTAAAGATAAAAATAGTAAAAATAGTTTAAAAGATACAAACCGGTGCAGTCTAAAACGTAACAAAGGTCAACTTCCTTTGAACGATCAATTTTAGCAAGTGCATCGATTATAGCTCTTTCTCGCTTATTTGTAACCTCATTTCTTTTCTTAGATCTAGTAAGGATAGGATTGGTGGTAAATTCTTCAGATTGCATTTTTTTGACGTAAAATTTTAAACTTAAAATTCGAAAGCAAGTTCAACTTGGGTTCTTAACGCTTATGATTCCGTATAAACGGAAATAAAATTCCGCATGTACACATAGGTATGACAGTGATCGGATTAACAAATTAATTGATAAAATAAAAAGGGCGTAAAACTGTGTTTACGGAATACTTTCGATTGAAGTCCGAAACATCATAATTAAGTTAGGGATCATAATGGAGCATCATCTATCATCATCTAGTTAGAGTGCCCAGGATTCTACTGCTCTAATTGACAAGTTCTGCTACAATAATCGTTAGATTTGTGGATTCTGCGGTATAAATAATACTTTAAAGATGGCTTCTTCGCAGATGATTATTATTATGAAACCCGAGTTTTTTAGGTTACGTTATTGATGCAGATCACTATCAAAACAGCCCAAATATAGTAACCCTAACTAACCTTAATTTGATATAGATCTTCATCAATAACGCAACTTAAGTAAACTCAGGTTTCACCCTGACCGTATTATCATTATTATTATTACTTTAAATGTTGAGAAACAATTTTAACAAAATGGACGTTTTTCTGATCGTGTTACGTTACACCTGATTCGTGGGCAACATTTAGAGTGAAGTTAAGGGTAGTGTACATATTCATATAATTTGCATGGCAAATCACGATTTTACAAAAAATTAAGGTTGCTACTAATAAAACTTTTTATAGTTATGTTCAAATTTTGTCAAAAAATTTCACATTAAATCATGTTTTTTTTAATAGTATAAATTTTAATAGACAAAATATTTTCCGTGGATTTCCCAAATTTGCCGGGGTAACACGAAATTGTTAAATATTTAACCAATTTTTAATGCTTTTACTACCGTTAGAATCAGGAAAACCTATTCTACAACTTTACTTAGAATTACTAAGATCATATAAAAAATGATCTACGTACACTCTACCCTTAAGGACGATTGTGATAATTTCGCATTTTATTAAGACATTCCAAATTACCGCCATAGTAAACCTGATCGTATCAAGACTACTATATTTCATAATGTACAATGAGCAGTGATTCTGAATAGAGCTTTCCGTATAGCTTATTCAAATAAGGTTTAATTGCTTATTAATTCTTTTTGTCATTTCAATTAACGTCCTTATTGCCTACCATATTTAACAATAGACATCCCTATTTTCTGCCAGATTTTGGCGTAAAAGAGGTCAATAGGGCATCAATCGGAATAATATTATTCTGATTGATGCCTATTGATATCATATTGTTCTCCTTTTACGCCAAAATCTGCAGCAAGAGGGGTACCATATGAGTGCGTGAGAGTGAAACCTGGAAACAGATCAT